CCCCAAAACCCCAAAACCCCAAAACCCCTTGATGTTCTATTTATTTAAAATGTTCGCGAAAAAATAAAAATAGTTAAAATCATAGTTTATTTTTGGTATTGACAGATGTAATAATTTAGTTCACTTATACTTTTGATTGTGTTTGTAATACTCCTAGTTCAATTGAAAATACTCACTTTAAGGTCACTTCTAATGACTACTGTGATCATCAACTTCGTCTTCATCCTTGTTTGAGATCTCAGTATCTTCTTGATAATTATCATCCTGCGAGACCTTACTGTTATACTCAGTGAACTAGTCAAATATTATTCTAGGTTAAAGTTCCCTGGGAATCCGTTTAGAAGTGTAGATAATAAGAATGTCCCCAATTCTCAACTCTATTTTCTCTACCTTATTTCTATCAAACATCACACCCCTCTTCTTAATCTCGTTATTAATGGACTTCTCATGTGGTTTGATCATAACTTGCACACTTTCCCCAAGGATCTTATTACTGATGATCCCTCTTCTCTTGGCTTGAGCAACTATTCGATTGAAGTGCTGGTCTACTTCATTGAAATGGATCGATATTATGTTAAAGAACGTCTGCAACTCCTGGTACTCGATGTCAAGCTTGGGCTTTTGAGACTTACTGATTGGTATCCACTCAACCACTGCATCCTCAAGCTCACAGATACGATTGGTGTTGGCATAAAGCTTAGACTTCCTCTTGTCCTTATATTGAAGGGCCTTCACATCCTTATTGTAGACCAGGGGATTTTTCTCATTTTAAGGAATCAGCAGTAGCTGTGGCTGCTCCCATTGAAAGCTATCTATGTTTATTATCCCGTTCATATTATACAGGCATACAGCGAATTCAATAATATCTCCAGGAGACACCTAGAGCTCATTTTATGAATAGCTAGGTAAGTCTTCACTTTTATGCACCCAGGTTATTCTTTACGATCCTTTTTTTACTATATCAAATCTGAATTCAGAGTGAAATCTTCCAGAAGGAATTTAACTAGGTTTCCTCATTTATTTCTTTTTATTTATTTACAAGTATTCAAAACTGTTTTAAATTCTGTATGTTTGATTAATTAGTGCAGATTATTAGGAAATCTCGCATTAGAATATTCTATCAAGTCTTATTCCCTTTTAATTACAGAAATTAATTGGCGTGACTGATGTATAAGATTTGAGGAAATTTAAATGTCTTTAGTATTCATTTATAAAAGATCCCTCAATAGCAAATGAATACTGATCAAGAGACTACGTGATACTATAGTACCAGCCAGCACTTATCCGAATATATTTGATATATTCATTCATATTGAACTATAGTATCAGCATTACTATTTCATTAGACAACCCAAATTCCTTTTATTCTCCCTTTTTTCTTCTCATTATTGAACTTTCGAGATCAAAGGTTGACTAACTTTAATTCAAGCCAAAATTTAGTTTTAGCCCTTTCTCATCAATTATCTGCATAAAATTTTGCTACTCTATATTATTCTTTTTTGGATTTAATATTTGGTATTTGGAGTCAATAAGTTCCTTTTGAATATGTTAAAGCTGCGATGAGCTTTAATTTTACTTAATTGTAGCACTTTTATTGTTACTACTTAAGTTTTCTTGCATTTACAAACTCCTTTTGAGCAAAGGTTGATTGAAGGAATTCATAATCAGATGATTTCTATCATTTACAGATATCTAGGATGCACTCTTTTTAATTTGTTGTTTATTTTTTGACACCATTTACTTGTAATAGTCTTCCTAATCTTAAACTTTCCAAGGTGGAATTAACTATTGCTTTTATCTCTCTGTGTATTATATTAAACTTTATAGTCCCTAAGTGATTTAGTTCAATGTACCATCATTTTTATTATATGAATTAACAAAATTCTTTAGCTAAGTATCATACGACTCTCTTCTATTATTAATAGCATTGCTTTACCGTGCTGAGTTCAGACCAGAATTCGATGAAGGGCTTTTGTTCGCTTTCCGTTATCCATGATTATTCAGAGAGCTACTACTCAAAATGTGATTGCTTGAACGTTTATTCTTAATTTCTTGGATTGTCGTATTTACTGACCCTCTTTCCGACTAAAATAAGTTCATTTTCTAGCTATGAGCAATACTTGATTTTATTAGCATTTTATTAGGCTTTTTTAGTGCTGTATTTTCATTATATTGCCTAGCTTTAGTATAACTAAGCAAGTTTGAAGATGATTTTGTCTATCTAGAGACATCATTTAGTCGCTTAAGTTCTTTTTCAAACTCCAGCTTAACATTTAACAAAGTCATTGATTGATCGCTGATAGGATTAAGTTGACTTAGATATTCATTCTACTCATCTATTCTACCAGACTCCTTATATTGCCTGCTTTCGCCAGTAGAAAGTATGCTCATTTATAAATGATGATTTCTCTCTTAAGGTGTGGCTCCCTCTTGAAACTATGGCATTGACTAAGAAATGCTAAGATTGCTTAATGCAGGAAAGTTCTAAGTTGTGTTATTGCTATTTGATTGAATATCAATTCTGCTTGAGAAATGATTGTAATTTGTGGAAGTTGATTAATTTTAATAGTGATTTTGTTGTAAATTTAATGGAGTTTTATATAAAATTACATCTTTTTTTTACATTACTCTCTATGTTAACTGTGGGATTGGATTTTGCTATCTTTTACTAAGAGTATTTTTAGTAACATAGTTAGCTTGATTGATGGGTACTTTGTGCTCATCTTCTGATATAAAGGTGCTGGTGTACTCAAGACCAATTGAAAGTCGATTATTTTAGCTGATCCCTCTATAATTGTGTTCATTATTATCTTGATACTGATATAGATTTGTTTATTTTACAAACTTTTACTCTTCTTATTATCTACGACTATTTAAACTATGACCATTAGTTAGGTTAGTAAATCTTGGTTTTTCTTTTTGACTAGATATATAGTTTTAATTCGATTAAGAACGAGTTGGCTATTGAAGAGTTTCGGTTTATTTAGAACTGTTACTTCCCATTATTTAGAAAATTTATTAAAACTATTTAATCAAATCAATGCCATTCTCTTCAAAAATAAAGATTTATGGGGTTTTGGGGTTTTGGGGAGATCGGAAGAGCGTCGT